CCTCCATCCAGGTCTAGTAAGGTGAGCATCCACGAAACTGCCTAGGCTCCCACGAAACCAATAGGTACAGTAGGATCAAAAACCCATTGCCATTGTTCTTGAGGTCTCAGTAGTCCTCATTGTCCACTATGTTCAGCGAGACCGGTTTTAACCCAGGCTTTTTCAGACCCAGGCCAGCTGGCCTTGGTGAGTTCCCGATAGAACATCCCCCTTGTCTCAGTGTATGGGTGCACCCCTCGCTGTCCTGAGTTCCTTGCTTGTGCTCTCTCTCCTTCTGCTTCTGATTTGAACCTTGAGATTTCAGTCCGGTGCAAGCAATGCTCTTAACCACTGAGCCATCTCTCCAGCCCAAGCTGCCTTATTTTTAAGAGAAAAATGCTCTTAACCACTGAGCCATCTCTCCAGCCCAAGCTGCCTTATTTTTAAGAGAAAGCAAAACTTAAATTGAGTCCTGATAACAGAGTTACTTCCACATACACCCTGTTGAAGGTCTCACTGTCTCTTCGGAGCCCCATTTTCTTTGATGTCTTTTATTTGGCAGGGTAAAGAGCAAACACATGACACTTCTCCTAATCTGGATCTTCGTCCTGATTTCTGCTTTAGCCAGGGGTCTCATCTTTTTTATGATGCTGGCTTAACTTTGCTATCACACTACCTGGAAACAAAAATGAACACAACCCTGGTGTATTCATCATCTATTAGAATGATAAACTTCAAAAATGTGAACAAGGCCCTTAGTTGGACTGCTGTAAGGGACGGCCACTTCTACGCAACAATGACGTAGGTGGTGAAATGGGCTCTTTCTGGAGGAGAAATTGGAAGGGTGATGTCATCTAAACCGTAAGTATCTTCTTTCCCCCTCACCAAAATGATGGAATACTACGTAGTCAGGATGGTATCAAATTTCTGACATGAAAAGAGCTCTGGGTGTAATGTCAGGAAATAGAAACACATACACCTAAGTCTGGTGATATCTTCCCACTCCTAAGGCACTGTATACCCATGACCAGCATCTCTCTACAAATATGTCACTCACATTGAACTATGCCAATACATTAAGATATTAAGAAAATGGGGCTGGATAGAGGGCTCAGGGAGTAAAAGCACTGGCTGTTCTTCTAGAGGTCCCGAGTTCAATTCCCAGCACCCACGTGGTGCTCACTACCATCTGTAATGGAATGTGGTGCCCTCTTCTGGCCTGCAGGGTATGTGCAGGCAGAACACTATACATAATAAATAAATAAACCTTTAAAAAAAGTAAGAAAATGGAGAACTTTAAAATACTTTTGATGTTCATTTAAAAATACTTTTTAATGCATTTTTCCTGTTCAAAAATTAAAATAGGAAGTTCTCAGAGTGTATTTTAGGCCTGCACAGGGTATCCAGGTTCAGAACAGTGAGCAATGTATGCTGATTTAGGCATCAAAATGTGTGTGTGTGTGTGTGTGTGTGTATACTGTTCCTTGTATGTACGCTTACAGGGGTGATCATTTGGGACTGGATAACCAATCGGTGTGTTCCCTGGAAACTCTCTGATGGAAGCTGTTATCTTCCTTTCTTATGCTTCACATCCTGGCTCTTCCTTTCAAACTGCTTCTAGCTGCACACAGAACTCATGTTCTCCTCTTCCTGGTCAGATGAGAGAAGAGCTGAAGGCAAACAACTCTCAGACTGCTTCTCAGTGACTCACCCTAGATTTCATAGACCCAAGACTCGGCACTGCATAGACTTTTCACTTAAGCTGATGATCTCGAGTGTTTACTACAGAGCAGTGATTGACAGTTGCCTTACACATGGAGCCTAATCCACGTGTCGAGATGCACAAAGCTTTTAAAGCATTGATTTTCCAATTTGTCTTGCAAGATGGCTACTAGTGTTATCCCCTCTTTCCAGATGAAGAAGCCAAGGACTTGGAGAAAAGATCTGTCCAAGGTCATACGGGTAGAAATGGCAGAATATGAATAACTAACTGATTTGTGATTTTAGAGAAAATTTTATTTTTCTAAAGAAGAAAAATGGAGAGTACCTAATGTACTGGATAGACCAACTTTAAATTATTACCATTAGGTTAAAACTAGACATGCTAAATTAGAATTTTACAGCGTGAAGAAATCGTCAGCACACTCCTGAAAGCTAGAGTTCCAAGTGACCTGTGTAAGGCACATAAAACTGCCTCTAACGAAATGTGTCAAGAATTTACAGTTTTAGAATAAGCTTTGCTATTCCTCCCCAACTGCCTAGGGACTACTCTCTAGGCAACATTTCAATGACAAAGAGATTGTTCCAGAACGTGGCTGGGGAAAAACACCATTACTGGAGGAAGGGAAATATACTCCTCTTTCCCTGAAGACTAAGAAGGTAGTAAAAGTCTTTGTAGGCAATGCTATTTGTTATGTGCAGCGCTGACAGTGGATATAAATGGAATCCAGAGAGAATAGGTGACGGAATTTAAGGTGACCTAATTCTCGCTTGAGTTTTATTGGCGACAGGCCACCGTGTAGCGACTCAAAGTCATTTTCGTCCCCATTGATACAGTACACACAAGGACAGGGACAGATGTGGAAAAGTAGAATTCAGAAGAGATGTGAGAGGCGAGAGAATAGAAACTGGGTTAAAGAGAATGAGCAGGAGAGGAGGGCAACGGAAGCTGGAATCGGTGCCCTGCCAAGCTCTGCTTACCTGGCGTCAGCCATGATCTGGCATGTTAAACTCAGTGTATACACATTCCTACATTTTAACGTGTGCACTGCCCTGCGAAGCATGATGCTGTCTCCTTGTGTGAGGTCAGGGTCATGACTAGCATCCCTTTGCCGAGTTAGCCACCCAAAGCACTGCCCAGCACTTGGTCAGATCCACTAGTGATTACAGCGCTGGATTCAGCTAACCTGAACACAAATCACAAGAGTGATGAAGAAACCTAGCAGATCCCATACTCCAAAGAGGACCCACCAGGTGTGGCCTTTCAGTGAAAAGGTGAACGCTCCCGGTGTTAAAAGGAAAAAAGAAAAGAAAAATAACTGCGCTCCAAGTGCTAAGATTGATAATAACAAAGCTGACTCACAAAGTTGCAAGGAAAAGGTATTTCTGCTAGCTTTCTTGCTATGCTGAAACTATGAAAGTGTAGCTTCGGTGCTTAGTTAAAGCAGAAAATGCATTAAGTCAATGTTTGGTGCTCACTGTGTTTCAGGCATCCTCTGAGGACCAGCATCCCCCCTAGGACGAAGAGTACTGTGCTAAGTAGCATCAGTGACCTCCAGGGGCATGGAGGGAACCAGCAGAGCACTGACTGGGATAGCATGTTTTGGTAAGCAAAAGAACTTCCTATGTCCTGGTTCTCCCTCATGAGCAACGCATTATGATTCTCCGTCTAGCATAGACATTGAAATTGAACTTCACGGGGGCTGGAGAGATGGCTCAGAGGTTAAGAGCATTGCCTGCTCTTCCAAAGGTCCTGAGTTCAATTCCCAGCAACCACATGGTGGCTCACAGCCATCTATAATGGGGTATGGTGCCCTCTTCTGGCCTGCAGGCATACACACAGACAGAATATTGTATACATAATAAATATTTAAAAAAAAGAAATTGAACTTCATGGCAGTTAGTTGACATTTCCCAGCTTCTCGGAGCTTTTGAGATCTAAAACTGGAGTTTCGGAACCCCCTCATTTGATATTACTTGTTCTGGAAACAAGGCCTGTTGTTGAGAATTAAGAATCAGGAAACCTACATGAATTTTTATGAAATGTAGGTTTAAGAAATGCAAGGACATCAAAAGTTTTAGGCAGCAGGGCTCTTCAAATGGATGGCTAAGGAGTTAAGAGCACTGGCTGCTCTTCCAGAGGATGTGGGTTCTACTCTCAACATCCACATACAAGCTCACAATCATCTGTGACTGTAGTTTCAGGGGCTCTGACTTTTTTCCTGATGTCTTTAGGCACCACACACACACACACACACACACACACACACAATATACATACATGCAGATAGAACATCCATACACCTAAATAAAAAAGTGTAAAACAAGTCTTTAGAAAGTACTCTGAATGCCCAAAAGAACTAGTGACTAGTAATGGCTGCAGACCTTACTACGGACAGCCCAGCTCCAAAGTAATTCAACATGGGGTTCGATACTTCTTCCACATCCATCCCAAACCAGCCGAACCTGGAAAGCCAGAAGAATATCAAGTTAGATTTTGCTAAAATGTTTAGAGTAACCCTTAAAAGAATTGGCGAGAGGCTGAACTCTTGAGTTGAGGTCTTGGCTCTGTTATGTACTGGTTAGCTTTGGGTAAGTTACTTTTTTACACTGTGCCTCCAATTTCCAATTAAAGTGGAAAAAGTACTGTTTGAGGAATGATAGTACATTCCTGCAATCCCCAGAGGTAAATTTGCGCTACAGCACTCAGGAGGCAGAAGCAGGGTGGATCTCTGTGAATTTGAGGTCAGCCTGGTCTATATATTGATTTCCAGACCAGCCAGGGCTACATAGTGAGACCCTATTCAAAAAACCAAACCAAACCAAACCAAACAAGATCAAACCAAACCAAAAACTACCATGGAAAAATGCGTGTGATTGCATGTGTGCACAAATGCATGTGTGTATGTGATTGCATGTGTGCATGTGTGTATGTGTACACTCACGTATCTTAACACTCGGGGTCAAACCCAAGTCCTTGCTCATGCTAGACAGACAATGCTCTCACACTAAGCTACAGCTCAAGCCCCTCTATAATATTTGAGGTATTTAAAATAACTTCTTGGTTTAAAAATTCCTATTCTTTGGCATCAATTTACATTCTTTTCATCATGGTTTGACTTTATTGCAATCATTAGTATTCATCATGAACAGCCATCCAAGGGTAAGAGAGTGAGGCAAGCAGACAAAGCATTGCATTAAAATAAATGCAACTCTGGGGTTGTGGGAGCAAAAGGATGGGAAAGGATGAAGATATTGTAAGTTAGTAGCTTGATTTACCTTGTTGTTTTGGGGCAGTTAGAATGGTTTTGAGTACAGGAAGAGCCTTAAAGTGAGGCAAGAATAATGTTCTTTGTTCTCATTTCCCTACATGTGAGAAGCACATGTGATACTAACCATGGGTAGCACAGTGTCATAGAACCTCCATGATAGTATCATGTTCCCATCCATGCCCTGTGTGAATTGGGACTGGGGCACAGAAGGTTCAAATCTGTCATTTTAATTAGCTTAAGTTTCTATACAAAGGCTGTCTGAGGCTTGTGACTAGCCTTCTAGACAGCACAACCTTCTAGCTAGGGTGGAAAAAATTCTCCTTATGGATCCAGCGTGGTTTAGGTGTGACTGCAGACGATGATGCTTAAATGTCTGGATATGGCTACATCTCAAATCTTTACAAAATGCTGGGGAGGCAGAGCCACAGATTGCTGCTCGATTCTAAGGAAGAACAACTGCTTTAGAACTGGTACCTGTCTAGAACCTGACCTTGAGCATTTCAGCCTCTTTGGGTGTCAGCTCTCTGACAGTGCTGACCTCACAGAACTGTGAAAATGAGGTGAGAACGATGCATGCTCACATGTCCATCAAACCATCGTGCAGGACAATGGGAAGGGAGACATCAGCTGACTGTCTCTCTCAGCTTGTGTCCCAGATACAACTCTTTACTTTTTGTTTTGATTTCCTTTGCTAGATCTTCATCGAATATCTAGGTCACTTACAAAGAGCTTTAGACATAACTGTTAGACGTGGCTGTGTGTACCAGCCATAATAGGAGATTTGGAACCCTGTTATTTCTCCCAGTATGGTGAAACACCAGTTTACATTGAATTCAGGGCGCAGGAATCTTATTTGAGATCATTTGAATTGGGTTACCTTGAACTTGCCCAGCCAGTTAAGGTATTAAATGATCCCCAGATGAGGATCCCAAGACCTAAACCGATGGTTTTGATAATTGGGACGACAGCAATGTTCCCTGTGGATACAAAACACAGGAAAAATGGCTTACTTCCAATACAACAGATGCATTTCTACGTTAAATTAGTGTTTTTTTCTAACGTCAACTTCTGTCCCACAACCACTGCTTTCTGCTCTTGAGGGTCACCCAGGGCCAAATCCGTTATGGTGTTGAAGTTGTCATTAGCATGGTTGTTAAGGAGACAAGGTCTTGTCATGCGGCACCGGCTAGTTCCCCACTCTTGGCTCAAGAGATCCTCTTGACTCCTCCCCAGGACCGGGACGGTGAGTGGTCCTCCACACCCAGCTCATTTGCTGCTCTTTATGAAACAGGCTGCAACCTCACTCAGTTCCTCCCACAGCTTTCTTCTTTAGATTTGTGAGTTGACTTTGTCTCCTGATCTCAGCTGTTGATCAGGGGCCCGTGTGCTCTGTAACACAGCTCCGGTTTAGAGCAACTTGAGTTTCAGAGTTATACTATGAACCGCTGAAGAAATCCCGCAGGGAGGTGTCCTCCACTGTGGGAATGCAAGAGGTTTTAGACTCAGATGGTATCCTGCTCCCCTTATTTCCCTTCTGGGAAGTTCTCCTGGCCTCAAGGTGTTGGTGTCTCCTTTCCACTCACTTACAATAAAGTCCTTATACCTCCGCCTTCCCTTTCCTCTGTGCCCCAGACCGGCTGGCTGTATAACCTGTAATATGGTGACGTTTCTCAAGTTTGGCTACCTACTTCTCTGCCTTGAGCACAGTGAAACCTGCTTGAGAGACAAATGTTCTGGAGTCTATAATGATCTGCACAACGGGCCTGGTGCGCTGGCCAAGCCTTTAATCCCGGGACCTCTGTGAGTTAGAGGCCAGCCCGATGTAGACAAACAGCTCCAGGACAGCCAAGGCGACATAGATACCCCATCTCAAAAATATACATAAATACATTTTTAGAAAATTATTTAATTAAAATAGAATTTCAAAAGTTAAGAAAAATGCTCGCATTGATAGTGGACTTATTAAAATTGGAGTGATACAGATAAGATTAGCATGGACCCTGTATGAGGAGGACATAAAAATTCATAAAGTGTTCCATATTTTGCACCAGCTTTGACCAAAAGCAAAAACAAAAAACCAAAATGAAACAAAACTAAACAACAACAACAAACCCTTCAGGCTGACCAAGAGACATGTCCCATCTGCAATTCTATCGGGAATGGAGGAAGGAGGACTCAGGGTTCTAGGCCAGCCTGGGCTGCATAGCATCACTCTGCCTCCAAAATCCTGGAGGGAACCCAGTTCCACATGGTCCACAATCACAGGGCACACGGGAGGTATGGTAATGTAAACTCTAGTGGAAATGTAAAGTTATGCTTATTTTGATCTCAGATTAATAAATCGTATTAAATCATTTAGTCTCTGTGGCACTTTGAATGTAATTGGCCCCCATAATCTCATAGGGAGCGGCACTATTAGGAGGTGTGGTTTTTTTTGGAGTGGGGGGCCTTGCTGGAAGAAGTGTGTTACTGAGGGGGCGGGCTTTGGTTTCCTATGGTCAGGATACCTCCAGTGTCTTAGTTGGCTTTCTGTTGCCTACAAAGATGTAGGACGCTTAGCTACCTCTCCAGTACCATGTCTGCCTGCACACTGTCATGCCTCCCACTATGATAATGGACTGAACCTCTGAAACTGTACGTGAACCATCCTAATTATATGTTTTCTTTCTAAGAGCTGCAGTGGTCATGGTGTCTCTTCACAGCAATAAAAACCCTAACTAAGTCCCTCAAAGGCTCAAGGTCACAACCAGTGGATTCTAACTTTTTAAAGTCTATTTGTTCCTAACAAGATTTTTAGTAATTTTCTTGGTGAACGTTCCAGGGTGAGTTCATGTATTGAAGAATCATGTATGAATCATACACTGTTTCTGATTGGTTAACTGGAAATATAAATTCCACTCTAGACTTGAAGGAATTGGTAAAGCAACAAGGAGATTTTTGATTGTCTGTTTTCTTCGTTAAATGTTACTCAAAATGATTACACGCCTCCATTTGGCAGCTTTCAAGGCAAAGCTCTGAAAATGGATTACTCAAAGCAAATGGATTAACAAAGGATTACTCTTTAATAACACCTGTTCTGATAAACAAGTTGGAGAAAGGTCAAATGTGTGAAATGGCATCCGAGTTATACTTTAAAAGGATCAAATATCTTTACTAGGACAGTTTTCTACCAGGAATTTACAATATTTAAAGGGGAAAAAATCTGGAAACTTCCAGGAGTATCTGAAGGGAAGACAACGCACAGCCCATCTGTGATCTGCATCTAAGGACTAGAAGACGACTGTGCTTTTTCTCCTTGTTGTGAATGTGACCGTGCGACCACTGGTTAGGGAAGACACGCTTTACCTGTTGCCCAAATGCAGCCGCCGAGCATCGCAAAAGGCCAGAATTTGGGACAGCGGAGGATCAAGTTGACCACCAAGGCGACCAACCAAATGGCAGCACAGAGCACCCACTGAAGAAACATCCCTGGAAACAAGACAGCCTGGCATTATTGGGTAGGAAGATTTGATGATACATACGATTAAGAATATCTGTGAGATATTATTAGAAGAGCAGCCACAAAGCACGAAGTGTCCTCACAGTGGGCATGTGGCACATTTCTTCTTACAGCTACTCATTGTCGTAAATGACCCAATCTCAGACACCAAGAAAGCAAATTTGAGCTTCAATAACTTGGTCCAAAAGCTGGCAGGTTCATTTCCGACTGGACCGTAAACCCTAGATGCTTGACACCAAAGTCCACAGAGGGCTCCTGCTTAACATCCTATTCTTTCACCTGTAGACAGATCAAGACATTTCTACCAAAGGGTTTGGAGAAGATGGAAGCTGTATTTCCACTCTGATAACTGTCTCAATACCATTGGCAGAACGTGCACTGAGACCTTCCAAGCAGGGCAGCAGTAACTTAAATCTTGGGATGCAAGTGACCATTTGTGGTGCACGCAGATGGAGTTTAATTCCCGTGGTGAGACTGATTTTTTACAAGCGTGAGATTTAACTTTCTGGGCCAGGGCTCCTCTGCTTCCTATGATATAAGGTGCTTCTGGCCATTGACCTGAAGATGAACACAGCAGTGACCATCTAGGGCTCCTGTACCAACAAGGCTTGGGGGATGGAAAAGATAGATTTCCTACCCCGAATGAAGCGGTGTGGGAAGCTGCAACCCTGCGCTGCCACTTTTGATTCTAACTTGTAAGATTTTTGTCTCTTTCTGTATTCTCACAACAGAGCAGAGGAAAAAACAGGTCTATTAACCTCCAAGACAACAAAACAGTAAAGGAGAGGAAAAGGAACTTTATGTTACAAGTAAGAAACTGGAGACAAAAAGCTGGTGAGACTCCAGGGGTTGGGGTGGCTCAGACTAGAACACTCTAATATATGCAGAGAAAAGGGGGCCTTCGGTTTGGTTTTCAGATACAAACATACATGGGACACTCGTCCAGGATCACAAACAGCAAAGCTAGACCAGTTGACCCTTCTGGTAATTTTTCTACTAGTTTCTATGCTTATCAAACTCTAGGCAAAAAGGAAAGATTTGTAATCCTGTTATCTAGGTAGTGTGAAGACTAAGAAATTAGGGAGATTTAAAAATAACTGTGCTGGGCATGGTGGCACACACCTTTATTCTCAGCACTTGGGAGGCAGAGGCAGGCAGATTTTTGAGTTCAAGGACAGCCTTATCTACTAAGAGAGTTCCAAGAAACTCGTCTCCAAAACCCAAAATAAGCAAACAAACAACAAATAAGAATAACTGGGAAGTTACCTACCATCCCAAGATTCACTGAGAACCTCCAGCCCCTTCTCCTGGCTTCCAAAGGGAGGTCAGGTAGGCAAAAGCCCCTCCTGGATTCCTTCACTGAACATCAGCTTGTACTATGTTGCTATACATGGGTATTTCTAAAAATTATAGCTCTGTGCAAAACCAGGCATCAAAAACCTCAAAACAGAACCAAATCCTGTTTGGGGAATGATACCAAAAACCTGCACTAGCAATGTATTAAAACAACAACAACAACAAAACCAGTAACTAATAGCCGGGCAGTGGTGATGCATGCCTTTAATCCCAGTGCTCATGAGGCAGAGGCAGGCGGATCTCTGTGAGTTCGAGGCTGGTTTACAGAGCGAGCTCTAGGACAGGCTCCAAAGCTACAGTGAAACCTTGTCTCTAAAACCCAAAAAACAAAACCAAACAAAACACCAAAACCAAAAAAAAAAAAAAAAAAACCCAGTAACTAATAAACACAGCTATCAGTTTTAATAAATCAAACCGTTAAGTACAGTAACAACACACTGAACACAGCTCTTTCAACTGAAATAGATTGGAGGTTCCTGGGGAGGGAGTGAAGAAGGAAGCCCGTGGATCCCAGCAGGGCTACTTAAGGGGGGGGTCTGACATCAGACATGGGAGGTGGGATACAAGAGGAGACTTGCTCACTAGTGAACAGGTGTGTGTTGTGTTCAGCCTGGTCTCTCACGCATCAGCTGTGTTGAAAGTTGATTTTCGAATGAATGCTGTGAGTGAAACCGGCTGTAACTTATCCATTCTATAAACACAGCAGACGTGACCAAAGGAGCCATTCCAGAGGTACCCACCCTGCTTCTCCATGAAGCACAGTCTGGTCTCCCTGTCCTGACTCACTCTCAGAGTACCACAATGGGCCCTGTGAGGTGACTTATCAGAGTTCTATTCCCTAGATGCTATGATCAATAAAACTTGAAATTTTTTTTAGCTGTTATTTTTAAAAGGAAAAACAAAAACAAAACAAGTGGCCAAGACACGTAAAAGCAAGTTGAGATTAGAAAAACAATTACCATCACCCGTGTCGTATTTTTTAAGTGGTACGAAGTTGGAGCCATACAAGAGAATTGCTACAGCAGAGGAGAGGTAGCCAGCAGTAAAGTCTGTCCTGTTGCCGCTCATGCTGGTAGGGGTGGCAGACAGCGAACTGTCTCACTCACGGCCTGTTTTTCAAGAGTTCCTGGGACAAAAGAAGAAGAACGAAGGTGAGAAGCTATGAGACTGTGGAGCAGCTGTAATCAGGACATGAAGTCTATTGGTCAGAAGCAGGCTAAGGCTCCTTTTTGCAGATATTCAGGTCATTATGCAAAAGTCTAGGGGCTGGAGAGATGGCTCAGTGGTTAAGAGCATTGCCTGCTCTTCCAAAGATCCTGAGTTCAATTCCCGGCAACCACCTGGTAGCTCACAACCATCTGTAATGAGGTCTGGTGCCCTCTTCTGGCCTGCAGACATACAGACAGAATATTGTATACATAATAAATAAATACATTTAAAATATCTATCATTTATACACAACGCTTGCAACTCATGTTTTTCATTTGTCCAGCCAATAATGTTCTATCACTAACATATGCTAAGATAAACCAAGTTATTTTCCTTCAGAGTTTGAAAACATAACTTTTTACAAGACCTGGATCCAGTTTTCTCTACATTACAAAGATTATTTCCCTGTAAAGTAGACTGATATGACGAACAAATTTGTGGGCCTGGACTCTTATTTTAACTAGCTATTGTGTCAACCAAACTCAAAAGCACCTGAGAAGACTTTCAGAACAATCACGCACTTTATAAGCATTTATAAGTTTGCTGTGTTTCAGATATGAGCTGAAGGAGGAGTGTACGGATGATGTTCAGGGTGTACGGCCGTACAGGTTCAGGATCTTTTCGTTAGTATACGAATAGTGGGTGCTAAGGTCGTAGCTGGAGGAGTCTTGTCTGAGATACAGTCAGGGATAGAGCTTGCGCTAACACACACTGGACCCTGGGCTCAGCCCTTAGCATAGCGCACACGCACAAGCTGCTTGAGAAACCGCACCAGGCCCTTCACCGCTGTGTGCACCATGCTACTCAGATTTATATTTTATATATTGACCTCTCTGAAATGTAGTTCAGTATAATACAGGTATTTTTTTTTCCTCTTCAAATTCAATAAAGTGATGATATCCCGTGGGTATATGTTGAGGAAGGCACCCGTGAAGCCACCCTCCTTTGCAACTTTAAGGAAAAAAAAATATTCAAGTTCATACACTGCTCTTTATACAGTCTTGTAGAGAGTATAAAATGTCTTGACATTGTTATGGGAGATTTAACAGAGAACAGAAACGACTTCAATACCCAATAAGCTTTAACACGGAAAATGCCTATTTGAATTATACGCGTAAAAATGTGGTGGGCAAAATAAATGTTTTCTGTACTGAGATGCAGCTAGGGACGAGAAGACACTGAGACCTATTTGAAAAACAGCACAGGGACGCCTGCTCTTCACTATGAAGACTACACTGCCTGTAGGTGCGGAGAAAGCTCATGCCGGGAAGTGGCTTACAAGGGCCACCGCGGAGGCAGATTATTTCACAGAAAGAAGCTCCGCTAAGGAGTGTTGATGGGTAGCCCCAGGTAGCAAGCCTGGACTGAAAGAATAATTGGTCGCGTATCAGAGCGCATGACCCCATTTGACTGCTGAATCAATTTCAGTTACTAGTTTATATAAACGATGTTCGGTCACCGCACACAGCTACCGCGCATTTCAAAAAGCATGAGATCTAATTCTGTGTGTGCTGACAATCCCTTCCACCCGGTGCTAAATCAGTGACGTTTCTGTGGGAAAGAGAAGCGCCAGTACTTTACCAAGCTTTATCCCCCGATTCCCTTTTGGCATAAGCTTATCTCAAATCGCTCCTTTAAAAACCTTTTCGGCTCAGATGAGGAGCAAAAGCCCTCAGCAGGCAGAAGCAGGCGGATCTCTGGGATCAGAGCTGGCCTGGTTTACGTAGCTAGTTCCAGGGCGACGCTAGTGAGACCCTGATCTTCAGCATCACTATTCAAGTCCTGAGTTAATGACGCTTCGTGCTAGGCATGCTCTCTGCTCAGCTGTACCCCCCTCCCCCATCCTTATCTTTACTTTCTTGATTTGAGACAATTAATTACACAGGCTTTTCCCGGCGGACTTTAAACTTCCTCCACAACCCAGCGAGGCCTTCCACTTGTGATTTATCCCCCACATTCATTTAAAAAATGTTCCAGTGTTTAGCTGGACAACAGAACTATCAACATCACACGGGGCAGGTAGGCTGTGAACTGCCTTTACCTGTTTACCTTAGGCAGGGTGGCAACCAGGCAGTAGTTTTCCCGTTTCTCCGGGGTGGGGAGAGGTGGGGGTGGGTAAAAGCTTTCACTACGCTTCGATAAAAAAGTCTCAAGTCCAAGTATCTTACGGTTTACTTGTTAAGTGACCACCGATATTTTATTAAGCCACGTTAAGTCTTTCATTCATTATTGGTACGGCCTGTTTTTCTTACCGATTTAAAGTTGTGAGCAGCCCTTCCGCTCCCTTTAAGATAAACTGGCGTGCTCAGATCAATACTGCCTGCTCTAGTTCAAAGATTTCATTTCTGGTTTCCTTTCATTTCCTCCAATCTGAGAGCAGTTTCGTCTGTCCGGGACTGACGTCACCAGGGCTGGCACGCACTTGCTCAGAGAGTTTTCCTAAATAGTGAGCTACAGGGCAGTCCTCAGACCCGGGTGACCTGGTACTCACCGCGCTGGCTGCGGAACCCAGGCTCGTCCTAGGCTGAGTGCCGACTTCCTGCCGGTGTCTGGGAGGGAGGATCAGAGTCCCCTCCCAGGCAGAGGCTCCTCACACCCTCCCAGGGGAGGGCTGGAGCTCAGTCAGGTGACTAAGGAGTTGCCAGGCCCTCTGTCAGTCATCAAGTTAACCAGACAGGTTTTTTGCCCTTAAACAAAAGATGCCTCTGGGAGTAGCCTTTATTTGTGCTGTTTGTGCATAAGACAAAAACAGAGGCCTTTTGTTAGAAAACGAGCAGGTTGCCCCAATTTGTTCTTCCTTGCTAGACAAACGCTCTACTAACTTAAACTCTTACCCCCATCCCTTCTCTCTCTCATGTGTACTAAGTGTCCTGTATGATTGTCATCTTCATGGCTCGCCGGCACATTGCAATGATCAAGGAAAGTGACCTTCCTTATACAAAACCACACTGGAGTAGCTGAAATAGAGCTTGGTCCAGGAGTTGGTTTCTTTGAAAATGTCCTCCAGGAACCTTGGGTGCCAGAGCAGGCTGCGAGTCAAATTCTAGGTCCATACTGGTTCTTCCACATCAGCTATAGAAATCACCAGAGTTAAGAGTGCAGGTTCCTGACACCCCATAGAGAGTATGAGAAAAAAGCAGCTACTAGTGGGCAGTGTAGATTTGCCTGCATTGGTGTGTGTGTGTGTGTGTGTGTGTGTGTGTGTGTGTGTGAGAGAGAGAGAGAGAGACAGAGA